AGCCAAAATTCTAGAAACCTTGAATAACTCATGTAATAGGTTACTAGTAAGTAGTCCTGCATCATACGTAAAAATGCCAATCTGTTATTTCCATCTTTTACTTATGAGATTAAAAAAAGACTTGATATTTGAGGCTTTATCAATCATTTATTCAATATCTTTTTGTTGGAAACCTACTATGTGCCAGGCACTGTTCTAGGCACTGAGAAAGAGGATGCTTACAATTTTGCAATGAACCACAGACCATACATGCAAAGTCATTAGACTATACTAGAATCCCGCTTTTAGGGAAATGAGGCCCAGAGAGAGAAAAGTATTTGTCCAGTGTTGCACAGCATCCTGGAGGCAGGCATGCTAAGGTGTTCATGTCTAGCTCAGTAGACTCACCAGGAGAGTCCACTGCATCCCTAAAAGACCAAATCACCATGGCTGACCCCGAGAGGCCCCATGACTCACCAGCTTGCCCCAGCTTGCCCCTAGTCCTCTGGGCCTGAGGGCTGAGAGTACCAGGACATAGGTCTTGGCTGTTGAGCATCTTGGAAAGTCTCCCACTTGACCTTGGGACCTCTGTGGTCAAGCAAGGGAAAGCCTATGACATGGTGTAGGGTTTTTATTGGACCCAACCACCAGGGAAGTTTGCCGTCATCTGCAGTGATGGAGAAAATTAAGTTACCACATTCTCACGTTTCAGCCTTTTGCCCGTTTTCCTTCGCAAACAGGAAATGTTTATTTAAATACAGCAGTCTCCACCATGTGCTGGAACCAAATGAAAAACCAAAGATGTCCACTCTTGCCCCATTCTGCTGTTCAGGCCACCACCTCACCGCAGGCGAGAAGGGGGCCTCCAGGCAGGACAGAGGAAAGAGGCCCCTGCGCCAGGGTTGGTTTTCATCTGTCTCTTCTTTTTCCAGGCTGAGATTGTGGCTGGAGAAGGATTACATCTGTGGGTTCCTTTTGTGCTCGGACGGGTAAATGCAACATCTGTTTACTCTGTGCTCCACGGTAAATGTTTTGTTTCAGACACCACTATCCACTTCCTCTCTTCTTGTCCTCTATCTTTGCAGCGCGGATCATAAATTACACTGAGTTCGCCACTGCGTTTATTTAGCTTTCTTGTGGGTGTCACCTCCTCACTGGGGCGGTGAGGGGGGGATTGTCAGTAGTTTATAAAAGGCTGCGAGTTTCTCTTTCTGCAAGATGTGCTGACATTAATGGGGAAGAAGCTGCAGCACAGGCCACAATTCTGATACTGGCTTAATTATGAACAACTTCACAGGCCCCATTCCAGGCCCGAAGCAAATTCCAAACGGTGACCACATTATCATTATAACTCGGATCGTACTAACTATTGTACCATGAGCAGACAGGTCTTAGAAGTCAAAAGTACCCAAACAAGCAACCATCACCCATCCACTTCCCATCAAAGAAGGAGAAAGAAAATTCATTCATGAAAGTGCCTTTGTCAAGCAGAGGTGCAAGAATAGAGAATGGGGAAACGGTGCCTTTTTTGTCATCAAATACAATTTAAGCATTTCCAATCAAGTAACTGGGTTGTGAGAAACTCCTGAGCATCTGACTACATTGTTGCTGTTAAGTACCGTTGATTGGGTTCCGATTGATAGTGACCCTGTATAAGGTTTCCGAGGAGCAGCTGGTGAGTTTGAGCCACCGACCTTGTGGTTCAAAATGACTTTGCAGTCCAGTGCTTATCCTGCAGCACCACAGCAAGATGCTGGCAAAACCTATGCCCCAAGGAACACAGAGCCTTTCAGAGTTTAAAAGTCTCACCAAAAGAAGTTTCCTTGCTCCATCCTCTGCTTACATTCTTTCAGTTGAATTGCTGGTTTTCTTCTGGATATGAAATAATTTTTTTATATACAATTACTGGAACACAGCAGACACTCAAATAATGTTTGCTGAATGAGTGAAGGGAGGGATGAATGAGGAACACCTCCCTCAAGAAATCCTTGGCATAGCTTAGAAATGTCAAATATCCCCAAGAGCTTGCAGAATTGAAATGTTACATCTGAGTTGATTGAGATAGGGTGTGGGGGTGGTAAAGAACGGTTGGTGGGCTATATCTAAACCCTGCCTTGCTCCTGAGAGAAAGCTATTCCAGCCCCATTCCAGGGAGGAAGGAGAGTAGAGGAGGAGGTAGTCTTGGTATCTCCATCTTCCCTGTGCATTCCAGTCACAGTGGCACCTGTGTCCAGAACCAAGGCAGATGAGACCCAGATATTTCCAAGCAGCTCGATGTCTGTCAGTGGCCAGGACTACAGCAGAGGGACCCATGGGAATGCTCATGACTCCAGTCTCCACCCAGTTTCTCCAGTTGTGGAACAGATGGGCAGTCCCAAGCTGCCTGGGTCTCCTAGGGGAGGTGGCTGGGTGGCATGTTGGCTGCAATTCTGGATATACAGCTTTTGAAAACTTCCCACATGCCAGGAGGAGAGGGGCCCACTCTCCTTGATTTTCCAAACATGCAACATGGTGTTTGAAGATGGGGAAGAAGCAGACTCAAGACTCTCAGCAAGGGAGCTAATGTAAAGTAAGTACCTGCAAAGTATTCTCCTAGCAGCCACACCAGAAACTATTTTAAGACGCATGTCCATTCAGATCTTGGCCCCTGAAAGGCCCTTGTTGCAAAGACATAGCAAAGTGGTAAGGAACATGCCTTTGGGAGCCAGGCCAGTTTGGATTAAAACATTTACTATCTACATGACCTTTAGACAATGACAAGATGACTTAACTGTAAAATGCTACAACAAATGTTACTTAAATGGCTAATAAAGAGCCCTAGTGGTGCAGTGGTTAAGCACTCAGCTCTAACCCAAAGGTCAACGGTTGGAACTCACCAGCCATTGCAGAACAGAAAGATGCAGCAGTCTGTTTCAGTAAAGATTTACAGCCTTGGAAACCCTATGGGGCAGACCCTACCCTATAGGGTCACTATGAGTGAAAGTCAACTCAGCAGCAGCGGATTTCGTTATTTTGCTGTTGGTGGTGTTTATATAGCAAATCCACCAGCGCTTGCATGTTGCTATCTGTGATGCTGCTAGTACTTCACATAAGAGCAGCGTTACCCAGGGTGGGCAGGTTTCAACAGAGCGTCAGAGTAAGACAGAATAAGAAGAAAGCCTTAGAAACCTACTTCTGAAGATTAAACAATGACAACTGTATGGTTTCAGCAGAATATTATTTGAAAGAGCCCTGGAAGATGAGCCCCTATAAAGTTGAAAGGCACTCAAAATACACAGAGACCACAACAATGGGCTAGAGCAATGGTTGTGAAGATGGCGAAAGAATGAGCAATGTTTCCTTCTGTTGTCTATGGGGTTACCATGAATCAGCACCAGCTTGATGGCTACTAATTACACTAACAAATAATAGAGATGTTGTGGAGATTCAATGAGAAAACATGCATAAACAACTAGAGGCCTGGAAAGCCTTCATTAAACCTAAGTTACAGTTACCATTTTACTAATACAGTGGTTGGCACTGGTGGAAGGAGCAGGGGAGAGGGGTACTTAGTTTATATGTTATTGGTATGTAAAAATAGCACTAAAAGTAGTTTGTCACTGGAAAGTCACGGTGTAATACAATGTCTGAATGCTGGATTCTAGCCCCTTCATTATCATATGACCTTGTCCAAATCAACTTCACATTTCTGAGCTTCATTTTCCAAAAGGGTTAAAGCAGGTTCAGCTCTAACCTTCTGGGATTGTATGGTTCAATCTTCGATTGGGAAAAAAGGGGAAGCTCCAGGAATAAGGAAGGTGGTTCTATTAACTCTCCACCCAGACAGTAATACACATAAAGTAAGTGGAAGAGAAAAACCGGGGAGAATGGGGCTAGGAGGTGGAAACAGGAATCACACATTCTGGGATAATTTACCTTCCTCTCATCATAGTTCTATTCCAGCAGACAGCCAGGAGGGCAGAGTCAAAGACCCAGGCTCCCACCCTAAAACACGTGAGGAAATCGGGGCAGACTGAGAAAGAGATATGGAGAGTAAATGCTCACATTCCAGCAAATGTTCACCCACTTCTCCAGCTCCCCACCCAATCCTCCATTTCTGCTTCCCTCCCCACCCCCCATTAAGTGCGGGGTAAGAGGAGCCCACCCCTGGAGTCCAAGTTTTGAATTTGGTCTGAAGATCAAAATGAGAAATGTTTTCAAAACGTTGACATATGAAAAGTAAATATTTGGTTGCACAATTGGGGTTAACACGCGGGTCAATCCACACCGCTCTCCAAGAGACTCTCCACAAGTTGCCAAGCCCAGGATCCGAGGCTGAGTGCGGTTTGTAAGATTATAGCACTTGGTCTCATTTAAAGGGCTGTCAGCATTTCCATTCTCCGGCCCGTTTGGGAAGGCATTTATAACCCAGCCATAAAAAAATTCACCCGGGCTGCAACTTGGCATCTATGACGCTCCGCTCCAGGCAGGCCGGGCTTTGCCAGCACCCACTCTGAATTCGTCCGGTCCTTCAGAAGTTAGACCTTCACACACTTTCAACTTTCCTTGGAAGGGCAGCCAGAGGCAGCGGATGGCCCATTCTGGTCTCCAAGCTGGTCACAGTCTCAGGCTTTCTCGCCCGTCTCCTTATATACCCAGATGCCTCATCAACCTTCTGCTTTCTCCTTGGCTCTCTATAATAAGTACAAACCCTTCACCCTCATCCCAAGACTGCAGTGGTCTCTCTTCCCCTTGCCTGCTACCAGCCATCTCCTTGGAAGCTGTCAGTGTGCCCAGCGTCTGGAGCCCTTGACACTGGAGTGGCGCTGCTCTGTGCCCATCACCGGGGGCTTTGGGACTTTGGCCTCAGAGCTGCCCAAAGCCCTGACTTAGAGAGTAAGGGGTCAGATCCTGGAGGGGGAAGGAGCAGAGATGGCATCCAGAGGTGGCCAAAGGGAAAGGAGGGTTCTGGCGCCTGGGGGCCCCTCCCTGGAACCCAGGTGGGTGGCCCCGGTGGGGCGGGGCGGACAGAGGGTACTCACAGGCGCTCGGCGTTGCGGGGGATGCCCCGAGGAACACTCCGGAGGCCCAGTCCGTGGCAGTCCACGCTGGCTGCGGAGCAGGTACACTTGGTGGGGCAGGCAGCGACTGGGGGCCCGCTTAGGACGCTCACTAGCGCCAAGGCCAGCGCTAGGCGGGCGCGCACAGCGGCGCTGGCCCCTGTCCTCGTGGGGGCCATGATGTGCAGGGTCCCGTGCTCTGAGGAGGCTGCCTCGGAGGGGCAAGACGCGTGGAGCCGGGAAAGGCGCGCAGTGAGCGCGGGCGGCCTGAGGAACAGGCGGTGGAGTTGGCGCGGAGGAGGGGCGAGCTCGGAGCTCAGGCGCACCGGGCGCGGGCGGAGAGGGGCGCGCCGGACGGCGACGGCGGCAGCTGCTCCATCCGCGGGGTCCGCGCTGCCCCACTGCGCATCGCTTGGAGAAGCTAGGTGCCGGGCGCTCCCTGGTCCCACTAGCCCGCGGCCCGCAGCGGGGGCCGGGTCGGGGACCTGGGGCAAGCGCAGTTGGGCGCGGTGCCGGGGGAGGTCCGGCTTGGGGCTGTGCTCGGGAGCGCGACGGCAGTGAAGGCGGTTGGGGCACTGGGCTGCCGGGTGAGCTGGCCGGCGCTCACTCTCTCCATTCACTGAGCAGGGCAGACACCGGAGACGCGGGGCCCACTCCTCCCGCCCCCCCAAAAACGCCAGCTTCGCCTCCTATTGGCTGCGCAGAGCGTCATGTCGACTAAGTTGGGAACTTTGCTGGAGCGACCTAGAGCTAGGAGGGAGGCAGAAGAGGAGGGAAAGGGAAGGAGTAGAGGAAAGAAGGGGCTCGGCTAGCCAAGCCCCAGGAAACTTGTCCCATGAAAGAAACATGGAACCTCATTCACTTTTAGCAGCTAAGGATAGCTGAGACTTGGGCAATTTTTCTTTATTCCTGGCTCGGAACTGGGCAATCTTAACTTCAAATTCTCTCCAACCCCAACGTGGTTAAGTACTCTGGTTTTAGAAAACAAACAACAAACCAGAGCTCAGAGAAGTGAAGTGACTTGCCTGAACTCACACAGCTACTTGCGACCCCAAAGCATGATATTATTATTCATCTGCATTTTACCTCATAGCCCACAGAAGCGGTGCCCCTACCTCTCCTAGCCCTCTTGACTACTGCTTCTTCCAAGGGACCTAGTTGTTTGACACTAATGCACCTCACCCACGCATGTCATTTAAAATCATGGTGATGTTGTTAAGTGCCTTTGAGTCAGTTCTGACCCATACCCACCTTGTATAGGGTTTCCGAGGAGCAGCTGGTGAGCTTGAACCGCCGACCTTGCGGTTCAGAGTGACTTTGCAGTCCAGCACATTAACCCACAGCACCACACCAGGGCATGGTAGTCCATGTTTTTTAGATAAATGTTAATTCACTCCTCAGAGCTGAAGCTCACCAGCCCTATTGGGCTTCCACTTCCTGACTAGGGTACCTTGAGCCAATCATCATCTCTGAGCCTTGGTTTCCTCAAGGAAATCAAGGGGGCCAGGAGCCCTATATGAACCCACCTCACTGGATTGTTTGAAGCATCAAAGAAGAGAAAGTGTTTGTATAAAACAGTCCTCTGCATTCCTGCACTCACGGTATCCTTTCTGTCCCCAGCCACTTTGCCTTCCTCCTTGCAGTGCCTCCTCTAAATTGGCCAGGTCTGAGCTTTTCCAGATGCCGTGGGGAGCAGTGTGTGTATGTTAGAGGCTCCATAAATACATGTAAGAATGATTTTGTTTGTTTGTTTGAAGAGGGCAGGAACTGGAGGAAGTATTTCCCAGATTTCCTTGAGGGCTACTCGCACTGAAAAGTCTGAATGAGCAGTGCATATCCACACATTCACACATGGCCACGCCTACACACACACTTGTGCACACACTCACACAAATAATGCCTGTACACACAGTCACACACACTCGAGTACACACATGTGCTCACACACACAAAGGACAATACTATTCTCAAAAGAACATTTCCTTTCTCCTTTGTAAACATACTGCTCTGATTCCTTCTACCACATTTTCCTTCATGGAAGTTTTCTGCTACTTGATCATATCCTGTGAATATTTAGTAGAGGGGCAGGTTTTATTTTATTACAATAAGCAGACTTTCAGATTCTTAGCTCCAGGCACCCAATTGCGCACGCACGTGCACACACACACACACACACACACACTCCATTCCGGTCCCTCCATCATTCATAATCACATTAGGTATAATTTAATGCTGGAAACCCTATACAGGGTCACTGTGAGTCAGAAGGACTCTAAGGCACTAATCAACAATCAACAACAACATTCTTGGAAACAACTTTCTGTGCAGATGCTGTTATCATCGCCCTCTGGTGGCCAGAGAGGGTCTCTGCTCTAGTCCTCAGGGTGACTTCAACATTTAAGAACTCTAAATATCCTTTCCTTCTTTCCTCTGAAGCTTTCCCCAAACCTTGAACCAATTTAGTACCAGCACTGAGGCAGATGAGAGAACTGGGCAAGGGCCCAAGGGCACAAAAGCATCTCAGACAGTCTGGAGTAGAAAAGACTAGGATTTTCTTTGTTTTCTCAAAAACACACTGGAGCATGTTTTGAAATCCCTTCAGGCTGGGCCTGGGTCTGTGCTCTGAGCACAGTGGGGGGCTATGTTTCCACTGAAGCTGCTGAGGGATTTCATCAGTCTGACTAGATCTTTAAATGGCTTCATAGTCAATTCAGTCTGCTATTTGCTTAGAGAATCTCCTTAGAACAGAACCCGAGAAACCCATCAGAGGAAATCATCCCTGAGCAAGGGGCAAGTGGAGGAGGCAGGAGAAGTAAAGAGACCAGGCTGCACAGCATCATGGATGTTTGGCCTGGAACAACTTTAGAAATCACCTAATCCAACATTTCTACAAGCATGTTCTGAAAATTACTAGTTCCACCTCTTTCTTCACAAGGAACAATAGCCTTTCCTTGCAAAAGTACAGTGGAAAATTTGCATCTTAGGTGAAGGTATGTAAGACTCTGAGAAGTCCCATAATAAGAAAATTTGTCTAAAATTCATTTAATCCAGTTTCTTAGTATAGTTGTCCACTTTTCATGTAAATCTAAGATTCAGTTAGAACATACTTTTTTTTGGAGCATATTGCAAACCCCCAATATAAATCTTTGCATTTTACAACCAAGGGAACTAAGTCTCAGAGCGAAATAGCACTTGCCCAGTGTCACCTAGCTAATACTCATTACTATAATGAGTATAATGGTTAATTTTATGTGTCAACTTGGTTAAACTATGTCCTCAGTGGTTTGACCAAATACTAGTCTACTTGCTGTTGCATAAATTATTGTAATCCCCTTCCACAGTGTAATCTAGTATAATGTCATTAACCAACCAATCATTTGAAAAAGGAGTGTCTGTAAGGTGTGTTCTGTCTCCAGACTATACATGGATATGTTGGCAGAACTCATTCTCTCTCTTTACTCTGCACTGTTTCCATTGCCAGACCTACAGATCATAGGATAAATCCTATAGAAGTTTCCAGCCTGCTGCCTGACCTATGGACTTTGGATTTGACAGACTCTACAATCATGTGCCACTACTTTTCTGTCAGTTTGTCATACAGTGGTGGCTTGTGTGTTGCTGGAAGCTATGCCACCATAATTTTAAATACCAGTAGAGTCATCCATGGTGGATAAGTTTCCATAGAGCTTCCTGACTAAAACAAACTAGCCAGAAGCAGACACAGATCATTCCAGAAGGGTTACTCATCAAAAATATTAGGAATAGCAGCAGAACATTGTCCTATATATTGTCAGAAGTGTGTCCCTCAGGTTGGAAGGAACTCAAAATATGACTGGGGAAGATCTGTCTCCTCAAATTACAGTTCACGTAAGTAGTATGGATGGGGCAAAGCTTTCAGGACCTTCATTTTCAGATGGGAGATAACTCAAAATGTGAAGAAACAGCTGCAAACATTCATTAATAATTAATAATCAGTATGTGGAATTTGGAGTCCTGGTGTGCACCAGCCGCTCCTCGGAAACCCTATATAGGGTCGCTATGGGCCGGGATTGACTTGACAGCACTTAACAACAACAACAATGTGGAATTTATGAAGTACAAATCGAGAAAAATTGAAAGTCATCAAAATGATATGGACTACATAAAGCTGGATATCCTAGGCACTAAGGAGCTGAAATTGACTGGTATTGGCCATTTTAAATCAGACAATCATATGGCTTATTATGCCCAGAACTTCAAATTGAACAGGAATGGCACTGCAGTTAACTATCCAGCATTTCAAGATCTGTCTGGAAATTCCATGCTGTTTGTGGTAGAATAATATCAAACACATACAAGGAAGACCAGTTAACACCACTGTTATTCAAATTTATGCATTAACCACTAAAGCCAGTGGTGATGAAATTGAAGAATTCTACAAATTTCTTCAGTATCAAGAAGCATTGGTAATTACTGGTAATAGGAATGCAATAGATGGAAACAAAGAGGAAGGATCAGTAGTTGGAAAATATGGCCTTGGTGATAGAAATGATGTTGGGGATCACATGATAGAATTTTTCAAGGCCAACTACTTATTCATTGCAAATACCTGTTTTCAACAAGATGTGGATCTTACAAGCTAGAACAGACTGGAATCAAACTGACTACATCTGTGAGAAAAGACAGCAAAACAAGGTTGGGGCGGACTCTAGAACAGATCATCAATTGCTCATATGCAATTCAAACTAAAACTAAAGACAATTTAAAAAGTCTATGAGAGCCAATTTACAACCGTGAACATATCCCAACTGAATGTAGAGACCATATAAGAACAGATTTCATGCATTTGACACAAATGGCTAGAGACCAAAAAAATTGTTGGATGGCATCAAGAACATCATATAGGAAGACAGCAAAAGGTTATTAAAAGATGGGAAAAAAGAAAAGACAAAAATGGATGTCAGAAAAGAGATGCTGAAAATTGCTTTAGCATAGACAAGTGAAAGCAACTAGAAGAAATAATGAAGTAAAAGAGCTGAACAAAAAATTTCAAAGGGCAGCTTGAGAAGACAAAGTCAGGTATAATAAACTGTGAAAAGACCAGAAGTTATAAAAGCAAAAGGGAAGAACATGCCCAGCATTTCTCAAACTGAAAGAACTGAAGAAAAATTTAAGCCTTAAATTAAGGACTGAAGGATTCTATCAGCAAAAATTGAATGATGCAGAAAGCATCCCAAGAAAATGGAAGAAACCCAAAGAGTCACTATACCAAAATGAATTGATATAATTCATTTTGTATCAATTTTAATTTCAAAATCAATTTCAGCTTATTTCAACCATTTCGAAAGATAGTATATGATCAAGAACCAACAGGATTAAAGGAAGAAGTCCAAGTTAAAATGATGGTATTGGCAAAAAACAATAATAGTTGGTGTTAACTGGTCTTCCCTGTGTGTGTTTGGATAGTATTCTACCACAAATTCCAGGAATTGATGGAATACAAATTGAAATGTTTCAGTAGATTGTTGTAGCACTGGAGACACTCACTGATCTATGTCAAGAAATTTAGAAGATAGCTACCTAGTCAATGGATTGGAAAGGATCCATATTGGTGTCTATTCCAAAG